ATGAATCGGTTTGTTTTCCTAGCAGTCCATGGTACCCTCAATACTCTTCACCACCACCACAGCTCAAAGGCATCAATTCTCCTTCTATCCTCCTTAGTTATTGTCCAACTCTCTGATGCATAACAAGTGATAGCAAAGACCATGGCCTGTATCAGACGCACCTTAGTCTCCAGAGAGACACCATTGCTTTTCAGTACTTTGGAGAGTTCCGTAACAGCAGACTTTCTCATGGCAATACACCTTTTAAGTTCCTGGCTACTGGTGCCGAGAGTGTTGACTGTGGAGCCAAGCAAACGAAAGCTGTGTACAATCTCAATCTCTTCACCATCCATCCTGATCTATCAACAATCTGCGATATGCAGATGAAACAACCCTGCCTGCTGAAACTGAGGAGGACCTGAAGCGCTTGCTGCAGAGGGTCAATCAAGGACTGCAGCCTCCATGGATTGAGGCTTTGTCAAGAAGACAAAGATTCTCACCAATGGGCCAATTGGCAGCATCAGGATGGATAGTGAAGAGATTTTTCTGTTATAGTAGCACTAGAAAAACAAGACAAGAGGCAAAGGCTAAATCATAATGAAAAAAGAGAAGGCTAATAGAATCAAAGGGAAGGAAAATAGTTAAACATTTTTGGACAAGTTAATTCACTCAAAACCTAGTGTGTGAAAATATGACAACATTTAAAAAATATATTATATTCTGAGCATCCACCTCAATACAGGGAGTACAAATTATACCAAACTTCTGCCTAATAAAGCTTACCTTGTGGTGACAATAGTTATATAATACAATATCAAATAATTTAATCTCCCCAAAGAAAGAGAATAGGGTTACTGATTGGAAGTGGTAGACATGGGGGGCTTGGGGGTGGAAGGTAGTGGTAGTTTAGGTAAACCCCCCAGGGACCATGAGATGATTATTTGAAAGCCAAACATGTTAGGCATAGGCTATAATCACATTCCAAATGAAAGTTAGCTAGTTAGCAAGAAAAAAATCCACTTACCAACACTTGCCCCACAAAAGTCTGTGCTGACAGCAACATTTGGATACGATCACGAAACATTCCCTTGTAGTGGAAACCTTTTGGCTTTTTATTTTGGCTGCTTGCTTTTATGAATATTCTCTACAAGCAACATAAATGGAGGGAGAGAGTGAGCTGGATCTCAGAGAGGAAAAAAAAGCCATCTGTCTTATCTGCATGAATGAAGCTACTTTCTGGGGAAATATTCAGGAATGACACCACCTCATTCAAGACAAGGAACTCTAAAGTTGCTTACTAAATACCTCATAAAATTACTTAGTGGGTTTATGTTTCACTGAATGGCTTCATAATTTTTAATTCTAATTTTTCACCTTGACAGTGCTTTTCTTACATATGCTCAGTGCCTTCTGCTCTGGGCATACGTGCCTTTGCATTTTTTATCAAGATACAAGGGTTATGGGGGGGGGATAAATATATAGAAATGAAGGCTTACATAAATTTGTGTTACTGTTAATTCCTTGTGAGCGCTTATGACTTAGCTTATAGGAAGTTGTGTTTTTAACAGAAAGGCAGTTCCTTTCTAGCAGTTCTAATCCACCAGCAGCTCCATAGGATAAAGATAGGAAATCTCCTCTCATTCAAATTAGAGCCTCTAAAAAAACTTGTTGGAGGGTCAGCTGACCAGTGGAAAAGAGATTGGATTCTTCTCTCTTATTGTGCTGTTTCCTTCCTTTACTTCTCTCAGTCAGCTGGAAAGTCACATATTTAACTGGTTTCATAAAAATAGCTTTGTTCCTAAAGTTTACATACATACACATGTATAGACCAGAATGTATATAGAATTTATATTAGATATTTAAGCTAATGTGCATATGTGAAAGCACGCATACATGTATATTATCTTTTTTTATCCTTCTTAATTTCTTCAACATATACAGCACAAAGAAGAAAGATGCACAATATATTTCTGTGAAATTTATAGTCTTTGACTAGACAGTCAACTGTAGATCAGTTATAACTGGACAGTTCATAATAACAGCTTCATTATATAATGTTTCCATTTATTTTGCTGGAGGGTCTGTTATTAATGGTTCTAACTTGACATCAATGAGTGAGTAAGTGAAGTAATACATTCCTCTCATTTATATCTTTGAGATGTATAATAAATTCATTAAATAGGATTAAATCTACACCCAACAGAGTTGTGGAAGAGAAGCCTGACATCTTTCCTTTAGGATTATTAGCAGGAAAATACAATGAAGTATTTCTACTCCAATACATGGTGTGGCCATGCACTGGCAACTGGAAACAATAACAACATACAGCTATTAAATGCATTGTCCACGAAAAGGTAATAAGAGCAGTTGGAATCCACTGACATTCATTTCTCTTGATGTGCTTTGAGCTGTCACTGAGAAAAACACAAATAAACTTGGAAACTATAGTGGCTTAGTGGATAGAAAGTTGCATTGCCAACCCCAAGGCAGGCAGTACAGATCCACCAGCTGCCCCTGAGAAGAAAGATGGGAATTCTCCTTTCATGAGATTTACAGACTCTGGAAACCCCTTTGGAGGGTCATCTAGGAGTCAGTTATAACTTGACAGCAGTCATTTGAGTGAGATTTCTCCACTGTTTCCAGCTGACAGAATCCCTATGACTTTTTAAAACGATCATTTATTGTGAAGCAAAAGTTTTGAATTATTTAGTTTTTCTTTCCATATTTTGTGAATGGTAAAATAGAAAGTCTTGATCAATGATTTGTTTCCTAATATACATGACTCATATAAATGTCTCAAGTGCCTCCCTCTGGTACTTGATAATTGATTCTTAAAATATTCAATCTGATATTAATAAAGAGCACTCATTTAAGTTACTTTAAAAATTGGAGATGACATCTGTGGAAAAACAAATTGGTTCAAAGATAAAATAAATGCATATTTAAGGGGGAAATTATAACTGTCCAAATAATAATTATGTAACTTTTGACAGTAGCTAGATTTAGGACATTTTTCATTTGGTCAAAAAGAGAGTAATCTCAATTTAATTAAATATGACACATTATGGGGAAATTACTTATTTTCTACCAAGCTCTTTCTGTAAGATTTGAAATCAGAACAGGGTAGCATTAAGATTATCAGCTCACATACCATTAGACAAGATTTTATTTTTATCATTTCCTTATCTCTTCCCTTTCTTTTTTTGAACATTTAAATATTTTTATTGATTTTCATATATCATCATTCGTGTACATTGTGCTTCATTCATTTACACTGTGTTTTATACATTCATATACATTGCATTTTATATAATTAATTACTATTAATATATGCCTATAATCACCCATCTTTTAAAGTTTTTATTTAATATTACCCTTTCTTTCACCCTTCCTCTGCCTGCTAATCTCTGCTGTCCTAGTGATTTTACCCACGTCCTATTTTTCTGTTCTTCCTTCAACATTAAAAGGTACAACTTGGCTGAAGGATGTATATGTATTACACCTTACTAAAGTAGCTGCAAGTGTGAATAGAAAATTGTGTTCTTACATTTTTGTTAATTTTAAAACATTTTAGTAGGAATAGAAAGAAGATACACTTCTTGCAACATTGGAACACTGATATAATTTTTAAAAATATATATATTCAGTTGTACATTTTTTTAAAGTAGAATTAAGAAGCTGCAACATTGGTGTGGGCTTTTTAAATCAGATTTTAAGTAGTATCCTGGCAATTCTTTCTTCAATGACCATGGTTATTGCCCTTATTTTAGAAATAATTTATATAGTGAATCCATATAGCACTAAATCTATGACCTGACCTTTCAATATTAGAAGCATGGACATAATATCTATTGGAATTTTCTCTGTAAAAGTGACCTTTTCCATAGCTAACATTCATTGCTATCCACACTTGGCATTGCTTCCTACATGAAGGGAAGGGAAGAAACCTGGAAGGCTTTCCAATGAGGGTCTTGGGTCATGTTGACCATCTAAGCAAATGATGCCCTCTTCCAGACCTCAGTCCATGAAAATACAATTCAAAATTCAAAACTCATTGCTGTGGAATCAGAATCAACTCATAACTGACATTCCAGCAGTTTTTCAGAGATTATAAATCATATGGGAGATTCCTTCAATTTTTCTTGCAGAATTGGAGCCTAAATCATTCTCTAAGCACAAATGTGTTGTTGTTATGTGCCGTCGAGTTGCTTGCAACTCATAGCGACCCTATGTACAACAGCCCTAAACTCCGCTCTGTCCTGTGCCAATCGCACTGTCTCTGACACTCCCATCCCGATTATCCCAGTCACTGAATCAATCCACCTCATAGAGGGCCTTCCTCTCCTGCACTGTCCCTCCACCCTCCTAAGCATGATGTCCCTCTCCAAGGACAGGTCCTTCCTTACAACATGTCCTAAGAGCCTCAGAATCCTTGCCTCCAGGGAGCCGCCCAGTTTAACCCTTTCCAGGATGAATCTGTTTGTTTTCCTAGCAGTCCATGTACCTTATGTAAGCACAAATATACAAGTCAAATTTTCCTTTTATTTTTATATAGAACTTAAAATAAGAAAACTGACCGGTAGAGATTTTCTTCCCAGGTTGTCTTTATACTTTTTAAGGGCCATGTAGATTAGCCTGGAGAAGTATAAGATGAAGAGTCCGCAGAAGAAGGTCACAAAAGAAGAGAGAATAAATGCTATTTGGATCTCAGTTGTGCAAGCTGTATTTACAGTCATCTCTATTTCCTTCTGTGGCTTAGCTCAGAACACAAGAAATGGAATGATTGGGCTTCTATGATGTCATCATCCCATGGCAATAATTCCAACCATTATATTTTATTGCATTATTTCTGCTGTTGTTGTGTGATGTTGAATAACCTGCAACTCATGACTCATATTGTTATTATGTGCCATTGAGTCTCTTGTGACTCATAACGATCCCATTTACAAGAGCCCTAAACCCTGCTCTATCCTGTGCCAACCTCACTCTCTCTGACACACTTAACTCCCATTACGCCAGTCATTGAATTGATCCATCTCATCTAGGATGTTCCTCTCCTACACTGTTCCTCCACGCTCCCAAACATGATGTCCCTCTACAAGGACTAGTCCCTTCTTGCAACATGCCCAAAATATGTCAGACGAAGCTTCAGAATCCTTACCTCCAAGGAGCAGCCCGGTCTCACCCACTCCAGGACAAACCTGTTTGTTCTAGCAGTCCATGGTATATATAATACTCTTCTCCAGCACACAGCTCATAGGCATCAAGTCTCTTTCTTTCTTTTTTTGCATCTTTTATTAATTATTTTTTGATGTAACATTTATTTTTTACAGCGTATTTTTTCCATTTAATTTTTCCCCATTCATTCATTGTTGCACATTTTCCTCCCTGCCCCACTTCCCCCAGTTCATTTTTCTCTTTGAAAAGAAGAAAAAAAATTCTTTCATTCTTATACAATCCCCACCAAAATCCACAGTCCACTTTACTATACATTTCTTTTTCTATAATCTTATCATGAAAATAGTACCTCATCCTATATTCCTTTTAAACATTCCCTCTTTTCTTAGGTTCCCCCCCAACCCTGATGTCAGTTCCATTTTACAACAGTGGCACTATTTGGACTTTTGTGACTGAGATATTTCACTCAGTATAATATTCCCCAGGGTCACCCATTTTGTATAATATTTCATCTCTATCTCTTTCTATCATCCCTACTCACTGTCCAGCTTTCTGAAGCATAGCACACAAGTGCAAAGACTATTGCCCAGATCACGTACACCTTAGTCTCCAGCCTGATGTCGTTGCTCTTCAGTACTTTAGAGAGGTCCCTGACAGCTGACTTTTCCAATGAAATTTGTCTCCTGATTTCCTGGTTGCTGGTACCAAGAATGTTGACTGTGGAGCCAAGCAAACTAAAATTGATGACTATCTCAATTTCTTCACCATGCATAATAATGCTGCCAATTGGCCCAGTGGTGAGAATCTTTGTTTTCTTGATGTTCAGCTTCAATCCATATTGAAGGCTGCAGTCTTTGACCTTCTGCAGCAAATGCTTCAGGTCCTCCTCAGTTTCAGCAAGCAGGGTTGTGTCATCTGCATAACACATGTTGTTGATGACTCTTCCACCAATCCTGATGTCACATTCCTCCTTGTAGAGTCCAATGTCCTGGATGATCTGTTCTGCATACAGATTGAAAAGGTATGGAGACAGAATACATTGCTGGTGGACACCCTTCCTAATTTTGAACCATGCAATGTCTTCTTGCTCTGTTCTGATGACTGCCTCTTGGTTCAAGCATAGGTTTCACATTCTAGGATTCCCATTCTTCTCAGAATCATCCACAGCTTATTGTGATCCACACAATTAAAAGCCTTTGCATAGTCAATTAAGCATTAGACAATTCTTTGGTACTCTCTTCTCTCTGTCAATAGCCATCTAACATTAGCTATAGTGACTCCAAATAAAACAGTTCTGGACCCAGACCGATCTTGAACCTATTGTAGTATCTAACACTCCTACCTCCATTTCCCAAGTTACTGCGTCAATCCATTTCATCCAGAGTTTTTCTTTCCTGTGCTGGTCCTCCAGCCTTCTGAGTATGATATTCTTCTTCAAGGACTGGTGACCCCTTAGTAACATGCCCAAAGTATGTGATATGGAGTTTCAAAATACTTGCCCCCATAAAGTAACCTGGTTTCACTCTCTTTAGTACAGACCTGTTTGTTCTCTTGGCAGTTCATGGTATGTTTAATACTCTTTTCCAGCACCACAAATCAAAGGCAAGATTTCTTCTTCTTTGATCCCTAGTGTTTATTCAGATCTCTGATGCTTAGCAAATAATTTCAAAAACTATGGCCTGGATCAGGCACACCTTAATCTCCAGTCAGAAGTGATTCTTCTTCAGTGCTCTGGGGAGGTCCCTGACAGCACATTTTCCTAATGAAATTTGTCTTTTGATTACCTAGCTTTTCATGCCAAGAATTTTGATTGAGGAACCAAGTAAACTGAAATTAAGAACAAGCTGCTGATTGGCCCTGTAGTGAGAATATTTATTTTCTTGATGTTGAGATGAAATCCATATTGAGCACTATATTCCTTGATTTTCTGTAGCCAAAGATTCAGGTCCTTCTCAGTTTCTGAAAACAAAGCTGTGTCACCTGCATAATGCACTTTGTTGAGTCTTCCACCAATCCATATTACTCTTCATAAAGTCTAGCCTCCTGAATGATCTGTTCTGCATAAAAAGTTATGGAGACAGGACATATCCCTGACACATCTATTTTAGAGTGCCCTAATGTGCAAGCTGCCATGACAAGGCTGTGACACTGGCGACATCATAGCCAACATTAGATCAATTTTGGCCAAAAGCAGAGTATACCAGAGGAATGTTTATCTGTGTTTCATTGACTCTACAAAGGCATTTGACTGAGTAGATCACAACAAATTGTGGCTAACCTTGAGAAAAATGAGGATATCAGAACATGTAATTGGGCTCATGCAGAAAAACACTTCATGGTTAAGAATCAGGAAAGGAGTACCTCATAGAAGCATCTTATCTCCATACCTTTTCAATCTATATGTGGAGCAGATCATCCAGGAGGCTGGGCACTATTTTATCTTCTTCATATTGTGCATTTCTGGCTGTATTTGGCAGTCTCTTATGCCA